CATTAGAGAAAATAATTGATATTCATGATACTAATAACCCGTATTATTAAGAATTTATTTACTAACAACCCCTATTACGGGTTGTTTACTGGTAGTTTTTATTAATGGTTTAATAATAATTTTTTTTTTGAAAGTGAAAAATATCATTCAGATTATAGTTGTTAGCTGAAGATATTGACAACTTGACTTTCTACAAGTAGAAAGTCAAGTTGGTTGTGTAACCTGTAAAGAAGCAGGCAAAGAAATGATTTATCTGTCAAACGAAAGAAAATTACCTGATAAATCAACTATATTAGTTACATATGATCTCTTATTAGAGTTGCAACCCCAAAAAAAACGGTGCAAAAAAAAAACAGACTGGTTCTAAAAACATGTTTTTTATAGTTTTTTTTGCTTTTTTTTAGTATTCATTAAGTTTTAGATAATAGAAATACTTGAAACAGTTCCAGTGCCCTTAAACCTACAATATACAAATGTTTTCTATTTAATAAAATGCATATTAACTTATATAATAGCTGTTACAAAATCACCAATATTAAAAAAAAAAAACAGTATTAAATATTTAAAAAAGTAATTTTTTAAATAAATCTCAAAAAAACTATACTATAAGCTACTAGTTGATTGTAAGTATAATACTACTAAATGAAGGAAATAAAAATGTTATTTTAGCAGTGTTATTTCATTCATAAAAATGAATGAAATAACACTGCATTGCAAAATACAAAAATGAACCAACTGTTAAATAAAATTTACTTTAATGTTTTATTTACTTTTGTATATTAATTTTTTAAATTTTTAATATTTAATTTCTTTATTTTATTTTAAATTGCAATTAGATAGCTAAAATTTTATTTATTCAAACAATATTCAAGTAAATAAAAATAACACAATGATTAACTTTGTCTAATGAAAAAACATTTATATTAAACAATTTGTAATCTATTAATTATTTTTAATTAAAAAAAAAAAAAAAAGAAATCTAAAAAAAAATATGCCAGGCAATAGAAGACCTTAATGAACAAGAAAGCCAGAATACAGAATCTGTTATTAATTAAAAATAAATCTTTTAAATGATGTACTATATATTTACCATATATCATGTTATTAATATATATTATATTACATTTATAATAAAAATAAAAATTAAATAAAAGTAAATATTTTTTTTTTTAATCTAAAAAACAAAAAAAACCATAAAAAAACACAAAAAACACAAAAAAAACATGTTTTTTTTGCAAAAAAAACACAATTAAAAAAAAAACGTTTTTTTTTTGCAACTCTATCTCTTATCTAATGATAATGATATGGAGTTAGATAAGTCTGAAGTTGTAAAAAGTAAATACAAAAATGATGATGATGATAATGATACTTGCCTACGAAATGAAATTAAAAATGAAACATATCAAGAGTAAAGTTGTCATGAACATCAACTTGACATCAACAAGATGTCATGTCAAAATCTGACATCAACAAGAATTTCTACAGAAAAAGTTGCCAAAATTTGCATGAAAATGGCACTTGATGGTAATAAAATTTCAACACCCAGTTAATTCAGAGTTTTTAAGTCAGTATTCGAGGAAGCTTCTAAACTGTAGAAGAATTATGAAAAACTTAATTAGTGAACAATGATACCTACATTTTGATTAAAAGCGCATTAACATAAATTAATACAGGTTGCAGTATTGAAAAACAAAAGAACGGAGGTGAAATTAACTGCACTTTACTTGAAAGATAAAAAAGTTTAACTATTACTGATAGAATTTTGACAATTCTTTAAGAATATAACTTATGGAGTGATGATAGTGAAGATGATAGTGACTGACACAATCAGTGTTAACACTGGTAAAAAGAATGGTGTTGTTGTAAGACTTAAGCAAATATTTTCAGCAACAGGGTTTGACCGCTGTTGTTAATTTCTTGTTAGCATCATATGCATAATAGGATTTTTCTTGTGGTCATGGATGAGAAAATTGGAGGAAGCACTAAGTCTCCAAATATTGAGTATACTTTTGTATCTCAGTTAAGGAACATTAGGGTGTAACAAAAAAAAAAAAAAATTATAAAATATAAAACCTTATAATTTGTTCTTATCCTCTAAACTTATTCCAAATGGACTAAAATTACCAAAAAAAAAACATTTTTGTTGAGGAACAGTTATGAGGAAATGCAAGCAAAACTTGTGATTGGAACAGAAGTGAATATCTATAAGTTAGACTGGAGAGATAACATGAAACTCTTGCATCATTTGACTTTAGTATTCAAATCCTATTAAGAAAAAGGATATTAACCACTTTTCAAGAGCCATTCTTGCCATTTTTGCTTTTGTTTTTATATCTAAAACAGTGAGACATTACAGAAAACCTAAAGATTGTTTTTATAAGACGGAACAAAGTATTGATTTGCTGAACAAATTTACAACAAATAAGACTACAGTAACTTGTCACAAATGCAGAAATCTACAAGAAGAGGTTTCAGATATTATTCGGTATATTAGAGAAAAACAAGACACAGAAACTATTAGTACTTAAGATACCAAGAAGCAACTAGTGAACGAAACATGTAATAAAAGTGATGCAGGAGCTGTATTCAGTCTGCAAAAAAAAAAAGACAAATTGCTGTCTAGATTTTTTTAAAGTATTAAACAGTGATGTACTGATGTATATTAATAATAAATATAGAGAATACTAAGCAAATGCTATGATAGAGTATCTATATTAGTTAGCTACTAGACATGTAATTATCAATTAATGTACATTGTTAAGTTATAACACACAATTTGATATTTTGATTTGGAGGTAAAATATTTTTAAAAGAAATTGAAAAAACTATTTCCAACCATTGTTTCCCACCCATCACAAAAAAAGTACAATGAATAAAAGAGTTTGTTTACATATTATGTAGTATGTTATTTTGCCAGATGCAAATGAATCAATTAATCAACAAATATCCTTTATTAAAAAATGTTGATATAACATTCATCATAATGTTCTTATTAGCTTAGTTGATTCAATGCTTCATTGTTGTGATGCTGTTTTAAAAACAAAGAGATATGCCACCAAGTACTGACTTAATAAAAGTATGTTATTGAAAAGTTTGTAATAAATTTTTAAGTTTTTATTAACTTATGTACTTAATAAACTATATCAATATAAATAACATTTTGAAAATGTCGAAACTTTTACTAAACACACATACACACTCATATAAATTACACAAACATATAAACTAAACTAAAAAAAAAAAAGATATTTTAAATGTCAAAAATTTTTAAATTCTTTATTTCTTTCCCAGGAAATGTGTGCGGTTTTTCGTCTTGTATGTGCACACATGAGTATTTTAAATTAGATAACTTGGTAAACTATGTTTTAAACATTTAACATTTTCTATATTTTATTTTTTTGTTTTTCTCAAAGAGGAAATTGTCATCTGTTTGTAAAATATATTTGGTACAATTTTAATGTAACGAGTACATATCAAGAGTTGAAAATTAAGCGATCGCGATTTGCTAACTCTGGAAAAATATCTGGTCTTAAAAATTTTAGTTTATGCAAAGCTGTGTACTTTCCAAAGAGCAAGTTTTTATGTTTGTTAGCAAGAAACTTATAAAAAAAACAAAACAATAAACTTACCACTACAAAAGTATTAACACTCTGGTCACTAACTGCATTATAAAAGTAATAAAACTATAACTATCTTATAATTCATTTTTTGTTCAAACAACATAAGATTACTTATGTGGCCAGAGAAGCCCACTACAGTCGAGGAGGCTACGTTATTGTGGTTTCAACTCTCTCTCTTAACTCCTAAACTCCTAAACACAAATCTTTATAAACAAGGCTGCTGTGTGGAGAAACAAGTTTGTTCATTTGAATTTCAAATTCAAAGTTTAATTGAAACTTCAGTTACTACCTCCCATTCTCTAGCCTTCTTTTTCCCATTTCTCATTGATATTTTTAATTATATAGATTAAAACTTTAAATTTAAAATAAATCAATACATATAGATTTAATGTGAAAATTTTTTTTTCTTACAGTTTTATAATTAAAAATCTTTTTCAAAATAATTTGAAAAATTCTTGTTATAAATTATTAAATAACAATATATAAAATATATTTTAAATATAGTTAAAGTAGAAAATGAAACTAATTTTCAATATCATTACACAAAAAAACAAAAAAATTTTTTAGAGACGAAATAAAAACAAAACCCAAAAAAACCCAAATTTACCCAATAAAACCCAAAATTACCCAAAAAAACCCACTGGGCTGGGTTTTTTTTAAAAAAACCCGGGTTTTTGCCAACCCTGGAATGAATTATAAAAGTTATAAGTGCGTTATAAAAGTAATAACACTATTATACTATTAATACTTTTATAATGCAGTTAGTTACTAGAATGTTATTACTTTTGCAGTCGTAAGTTTATAGTTTTATTTTTTATAACTTTTTTGTTAACAAATTTAAGTTGATTTGCCCCTTGAAATTAAAGAACACCTTTGAAGATAATTTTCAAATTTTGCATTTTGCGATTGCTTAATTCAACCTTTGTTGAATATAAACTTTAATATTATATTATATTATATTTATTCCATTGATATTATTCAAATATATTTTACAAACATATTACAGTTTATATTTTCGCTTTTCTCTTTTAAAAAAAGTTAAATAAAGGAAAATTATTCTTTTTATTGTAGACTTAAAACTGTTTATTTTTTGCTTTGCCTTATCTAATTAATTGCTGAATGTAACAACCATTCTAAAGAAATACAAAAATAAAAACAGTACGCAAATTATTTAAATTATTAATTTCTTTCTATTTTTTTCAATTAAAACTTCTTTTTATTTCCTATTTTGTTAGTTTTGTATTTTTTGTTTTTGAACAGCTGTGACCAAGTTGTCTAAAACAAAATACTCGCATGTGGTCATACAAGACAAAAAAACTGCACGGGTTTCCTGGGAAATCTTGTTATTGAACACCTGTATGTTAATCTAAATTAACTTACCAAAATTAGAAAACCAAGGTAAAGATTCATTTGAAGGATTTAGGTTAACAAGAAACTTTAATAAACTATTTTGGTTTTTATTGTTAGTTAATCCACAAATCATTGATAAACAACTTCTTAACTTTTTTTTAGCCATAATTTTTTTACAACTTAAACAATTATATGCATATACAGATACACAAAACTCCATTATTGTCAAATGCGCAAACTGATAATAACAGCCTAGATTTGTCTCAACTTTTTCGATAAACCCAAAAAGATTACCATCATTTTTATCAAAGTTGCTGATAAAATATTTAATATCTTTTTTGAAAAATATTATTTTATTTTTAATAAACAACTGATAAGCAATTTTACAAATATTTAAAATATACTTTTTATTAAAACTGTCTTCCATTATCTCATATATCAATTTATCATTTTTCATGATGTGTTTTTGCAAAAAGTATAAAAAAATATTTGCATACAGATCTGTCATAGTTAAGAAGGAATTTGTATATATATTATTTGAATCACTAATAATTTTACACATTGAAGATAAATAAAATGGAATAGATGCCATGGCTTTTGCAATAGGCGATTCCTTTAAAGTTATTTTTATAACTTCTTTTTTTTCCTCTTTAACATGGTTTTCTATATAATTGTTGATTCCATTTTCATTAAAACCCATTATTTGAATAGTTGACTCATAGTAAATATGCTCTCTATATTTACTTTGGTATTGATCGATTGCATAAACCCTACCAGCAACTACATGTTTAAATTTTATAATATCTGCTAATACACTGACAATTTGATATTTACACTTTAAAGTCGGATTTACTAATTCATTTAAATATGTAAACTCATCTAATCCATCAATCATAAACATAACAGAATGATTGTTGATATCAAAATCGTTTATAATGTCATTGTAGAAAATATTAAGTAATTCATTAATATTAGAAACATTTTGATATTGATTAAGTCTTCTGCATTCTAAATAAAAAACAAGTTCAACATTTTTCCAAATTAAATTATTTGACCAATCAAGTAAACATTTTCTAAGCAACCATGTTTTCCCAATACCAGCTATTCCAGATATTAATATGCTTGATTTTTCCTTGGTAAATATTTCACTATATGGTATTGGCGTATAACTCATTTGCTTTTCAAGAAATTCTTTTCGTTCAACACTGAAAACAAAATCCAATTGAATATTCACTGCATCAACAATACATAAATCAACAAAAGTACTTATCAGATCAACATTTGCAGGTGTTTTTAGAAGTGGTTGAACTTCATTTATTTTCCCATAATTTACAAGATAATAATTTTTCAGTGTTGCGCAAATCTCTGATATATCTAAATATAAATTATATGTCATCATCATCATCATCATCACCATCATCACCATCATCATCATCATCATCATCATCATCATCATCATCATCATCATCATCATCATCATCATCATCATCATCATCATCATCATCATCATCATCATCATCATCATCATCATCATCATCATCATCATCATTGTTATAATATAACTACCTTTCTTGACATAAATTTTGCTAGCATTATCAGGTGTATTTGAAGAATCTAAATAAAAATTATATAAAAATATTACTTTTGACTTCTCATTTAAGGTTATAGTTATCATTCTATATAACAATTTTAGTAAGTTGAATATAAGTAGAGTGTATTCGAATAGAGCAAAATTCGAAAATAATTAAAGATAAGTGAATCAACCTTCAATTATAAGGTGATTAAGTATTAGGAGTTTGGTTAATCTTATTAACCAAACTCCTAATACTTAATCACCTAATAATTGAAGGTTGATTCACTTATCTTTAATTATTTTCGAATTTTGCTCTCTTCGAATACACTCTACTTATATGTATTATATATATATATATATATATATATATATATATATATATATATATATATATATATATATATATATATATATATATATATATATATATATATATATATATGTATTTATGTATGTGTGAGGGTGTCTGTAAGAAACAATAAGATCTCTTAAGTTATAAAAAAGCTTAAAAAGTTAACTTATAAGTCTTAAGTTATAAAAAAGTCTGTAAGAAACAATAAGATCTCTTAAGTTATAAATTAGATCTCTTTAATTTAGATTAATTACTCATTACTTATAGATAAAAAAAAAATTCAACCAAAATCATTCGACAACATAAGCCAAAAAAACTTCTTTCAACCAAACTTTTATCAACCAAAATCATTCAACAACATCAGCCGAAAAAACTTCAGCATCAGCCAAAAAACATCAAAGTTCACAAAAATAATTGAGTTAATGTTGTTCTGAAAATGAGTCAAAAAATTAACTAAGAAATATTTTAAATCATTCTTAACTAGGCTGCAAGCAGTCACTATTTAAATTGAGAGTTGATAAAAAGCAAAGCAGGGAGTTACAAACCAAATAAATGGTTGACCAAAATCTATAGTCAGGAAAATATGGTGAGAGAACCCTGAATAATACATAAGGAAAAAAGTAGATTAACAAAACGTTTTGAGAGCACGAAGTAACATACAGTAGAAGGATACAGCAACCATGATAGTGTTTTTAGAAAAGAAAAAAAAAATGTAACCTTGAAAAAACAAAACCTATGATGGGGGAAATGGTACAGTCAACTTTGTGATAGATTAGGTGGTTCAATTAATCTTGTAATAGGATAGCTGATAGAGCCAACCATCTAATGGGATAGGTGTTACAGTAGAACATTTGGCAACACTAGCAAGCTTACAAAAAGATATAGGTAATCGTATTTTAACTCCTCAATCAATGCACAAATATTGCAATGAAAAACTAGAATGTACAAATTAAATATATATATATATATATATATATATACATATATATATATATATATATATATATATATATATATATATATATATATATATATATATATATATATATATATATATATATATATATATATTCTTCTTGATGTTATTTCTGATTATACTGACCAAGCCCTCATTCTTTATCCATCAGCCAATATTGTTGTTGTCGGTGACTTTAATGTTCATCACACTGAATGGCTTGGCTCTAGTGTCAGTGATTCTGCAGGCATTAAGGCCCACAACTTTTGTCTTTCTCAATCCCTAACTCAAATAGTCAACTTTCCAACTCGCTTTCCAGACAACCTGAATCATTTACCTTCTCTACTCGACTTATGTCTTGTTTCTGATTCTAGTCAGTGTTCAGTTTCTTCACACTCACTCTTAGGTGCGTCTGATCATGGTTTGGTCTCTCTAAAACTATTATCTCATTCTTCTTTACCATTAGAACCCCCTATCATCGCAGGCCTTGCGATAAAGCATCGGGCGATGTGAATTTTATGTCGTCCAAGGGCGATTTTGCGTGTAGCTAGGGCTATTTGCGTCGAGCAAAAATTTTTTTGTTTGAGTATATTTAAAGATATTTTTGAGCGGAATTTTAATGAAGTAATTTACGATTATTTTAACATTTAATAAAGTATTTTAAAAACCGCACGCAGTTGATCTAAAAGTTTGAATTACAAAATAATAAATATGCTCATTAGTTTCAAGTAGAAAAAATTCAGATTAAAAAAAAGTTTAAATCTTTTTAAGCTAGCATTTTAATAAAATTAATCAGCAATAACAAAGTTGTCGATAAAATTGAACAAAAATACTTTCTTTTAGTTTTAGATTTTAACTTAAATAATTATTTTACGAGGGTTTGTTAGGTTTTAAAATTATTCCATAGATTTAAAAATATTTATTAACTGTTAGACAAATTTAAAGTATTTAAGAGTAATTTCGAGGAAACATTTAAAAAATTGGTAAGCGCAAATAAAAAAATAAAAGGATTAATATTAAAACGTATTCTACTTGATTCAATAAAAAAGTACAGTTATTAAAATTTTTGTAAAAAGGTTAGTCAAAAAAAATTACTTTATTAATAACAATCGCATTTTTGTTAAAAGTTATCGAAACTCAACGAAGTGTGCTCAAGAACAGCTGCTGAAAAATAGAACGTCAGTAGTTTTTCGAATAATTTTTAATAATAATTTTTAGGAAAAATTTTTTCGCTGAAATATTTCTTTTATACCTAAAAGATTTTTATTCTAACATTTTATTTTATTTACCAAAAATAAAATTCCTTGTAAACATTAAAAATCTATTCAAAACGTTCGTTAAAGTTTTTTAATAATACGAGTGATTGTGCATATTAACCGCTTTATGAAAATAAATTAAAACAAATAAATAAAAAAAAATTATATAAAATCGCTAGTAAAAATATTAGCTATTGCACAGTTTTTAATCGTACATTATAAAAATTTCCAGTTTATTACTTTCTGACTTATTAAAAAAAAGAAAAAATTATCATTTGAAAAACTTATTATTAAAAAAGAAAAAATAATTATTTGATTAACTTACGTTTTTTATTCCTTTAGTATAGACAAAACGTGTCAAACGTCGAGAAAATAAACAAATGTTTTTACATTAAAAAAAATGAAACATTCCAAAACATTTTTAAATAATAACATTTCTACATTAATGATTTAAAGAAGTTTTGTGGTAATTAAGTAAATTGGTGCAGTTAATGTCGATAAATATGAAAAGCAAATAAAAAAAATTTAATGACGTCAAAAATCACGTCTTGCTTATGCGTCGCGCAGTTCTTATTCATCGCAAGGCCTGTATCGTACATCTTACAACTACCTTAAAGCTGACTGGGACTCTTTTTGTGACTTTCTTCAAGATGGCCCCTGGGTAGAAATCTTTCGTCTCCCTGTTAACAAATGTGCTTCTTATAAATCCTTTATTCCCTCTCGACCATTCCAGGTCAAGCCTCACTCTTCTCCATGGTTTTCCTCACATTGTGCTGCAATTGCCAATCGAAACCATTACTTCCATATCTATCAGCAAAACAATTATCCAGAAAACAGACGTCTCTTTATTACTGCTAGGAACCATTGTAAAAAGGTTTTGTCTAACGTCAAAACCCGCTATTCTCAGATCATGAAATCTCGTATTTCATCACAAAAATTAGGCTCTCGTGACTTCTGGAGAATCTTTAATAGTATCAATAATAAGGGCAAGTCTGTAATTCCACCTCTTTTATACGGTTCAGACTTTATCACCTCACCTAAAGACAAAGCTGAATTGTTTGCCAAGAACTTTTCATCAATATCATCTATTGATGCCACTAGTTGCGTTTTACCTGATATACCCGTCAAACAGGTTGATCCATTGCTCGACATTCATATCACTCCAGCTTCTGTATCTTAAGTGATTTCCCGCTTAGACTCTTTTACAGCTTGCGGCCCGGACAACATACCTGTTATAGTCTTGCAGAAGTGTTCTCCTGAGCTATCGTCTATCTTTTCAAAACTATTCAACAAGTGCTTATCAGAGTCTTGTTTTCCAGCCTGCTGGAAAGCAGCATCTGTTATCCCTGTTTTTAAAAATTCTGGAGAGCGATCTGACTCATCTAACTACCGTCCCATTAGTCTTCTTCCTATCATAAGCAAGGTTTTTGAATCTTTAATTAACAATCACTTAATCTTGAATCTCGAATCTTATAACCTACTTTCTGATCATCAGCATGGATTTTGATCCTCTCGTTCTACGGCTGATTTGCTATCAGTAATAACCGACAGGTTTTATCGCGCATTAGATAAAGGTGGAGAGGTTAAGGCCATTGCTCTTGACATTTCTAAAGCGTTTGATAAAGTTTGGCATGCTGGTCTCCTCCATAAGCTTTCTTCTTATGGTGGATCTGGAAACATTTTTAAGATTATTGAATCCTTCTTTTCCAATTGTAGTATAAAAGTTGTCCTTGATGGACAGCACTCTTCTTCTTATTCTGTAACCTCAGGGGTTCCCCAAGGTTCAATCCTTGGCCCTATACTCTTTTTAATTTACATTAACGATCTTCCAGATATTCTCACATCTAAGGTGGCATTGTTCGCTTATGATACTACTATTTATTCTTGTCACGATAAGAAGCCAACTCCCTCTGATTGCTTGCAGGGGGCATCTGAGCTCGAAAAGGATCTTACTTCTGCTACAGCATGGGGCTCACAGTTGCTGGTGAACTTTAATTCAGATAAAACTCAATTTTTTTCGGCCAATGGTTATCGCAATAATTTAGACCTTCCTATATTTATGAACGGTAATGTACTCGATGAGTCTCCTACCCTTCATCTTCTAGGATTAACTCTTACTTCTGATCTTTCTTGGAAACCTTATATCAAATCCGTTGCAAAATTAGCATCTGCTAAAGTTGCTTCTCTTTATCAAGCTTGTCACTTTTTTACTCTGGATTCTATTCTCTATCTCTATAAATCTCAAATCCAGCCTTGTATGGAGTACTGTTGCCATATCTGGGGCGGATCTTCTAATGATGCCCTTTCTCTTTGAGACAAGGTGCAAAAACGCATTGTAAACATAGTTGGACCTGCTCTTGCAGCCAACCTTCAACCTCTGTCACATTGTCGTAATGTTGCTTCTCTTTCTCTTTTCTACAAATACTATAATGGAACTTGCTCTAAAGAGCTAGCGTCTCTTGTGCCATTTACTAAAAT